TAAGACACGCGTCTGCCCAGTAGTCCTCCTAAATTCTATATAAAATCTAATGAAGCATGATAAAGTAAGAAATAGAGTAAATGTCCTTTAAATTTCATAGAGCAATGAAAGACATTGTTGAAAATCAAATTAATCCGAGTAATATCACTTTATATGGACATGTCAGATAAGAATAATCATATTATTTAAAGTAGGTAACTTTGTATTTTTATTTTTCAATAAATTTAAACTAAATCGCACAGATGCCATTTAAATATCAATAAATCATTGATAAAAGATTCTGCTACATGTCTTGGTTTTAAATAAAAAAAAATTGAATAGCGTTGCAACGGCCATCTTGAAACGTTTAAAAATTAAACTGCTGTCATTTCTACGCGCGTTATCCAACAATGGAAGCAAACGAGAAATTGATACGATTTTTAAAAATCGAATTTGCATGAAAATATTAGTCAACGGATTTACACGCAGTACAAAACGGAACACAATGCGGTACAAATTTGTGAATGGCAGATAGGTTTCGTACGTCAATCGAATTTTACCATTATTTGCGAGTGTGTAGGTATTAAATCGCGATGTAGATATGCTAACATGGTTCATTGTGTAGATAGTGTGCAGAATTGCTTTGCTAACCTGCAAGCATGTTTTTGAATTGATAAATTGGCAATGTTTTCATTAAATTAACATTTTCTAATGAAACAGATGTATTTTTCTTGTATCTAATTGTTATATAATTTTTTTAAAGAACAACATGCATCATTCTTGACTTAGTTCTTCTTGGTTGGATCTTTATTCCAAAAGAACGGTTTACTCTAAAGATTATTATATATAGATTATTATTATAGATAGAGCTTTGCTGTACTTAAAAAACTATTGAAGTAACCTAAAATGTTAATCAAGTGGAAATTAAAATATGTTATTTTTCTTTCTTGCGTCTAAACAATAATGGGTACCAGAGGTAGACTGTAAATCTTTTTACGTCTGCGTGTCTCACCAGTTTCAGGCACCAAGCTTTGTAAGCTGTGTGTGTTGTAGGGTACAGATTAGGCGGAGAAATTACAGAGTAAGAGTCATGTTATCTTAGTTCCTTTGATGATGACGAGATCTCCGTAGTGCTGTTCATGTATAAGCGACTGTGACAGTTTACCATTAGGTTTGTCGTCAGAAAAAAAAATACATTAGGTAGGTACGTGACAGAAGATATATTAGAACACATAAAAAAAATTTTTAATAGTTACGCAATATTTTTTTAAATGTTCAGCGACTACCTAGTGAGGAAGTCAGTTATTTAGGAAAAATGTTCATAAAGGAAAGTTCTATATCTAACCTATTAGGTAGGTCATAGTATTTTACAGATTATCTAACTTCATATATACTAAGTCAATATAAATTAGATTATTTTTAGATTAGATGTTTCCTTTTTTTATAGGTATTACTCCATATTACACCATTTTCATAGTCAAGTAATAGTAATATATTATGTGGAGAAGTGTGTCATTTCTGTACATAGAAATAGTTTCAATGTTTCCAGAATTAGGTACTCTTTAATGTAACATAAATGTAACAATTTAAATAAAACATACATTTACTGAAAACTGTATACGAATTATAGCATCATACAATACAATAGATATATATTAATAAAAAATGAATAATTTGTCGCGCATTACGAATACTCTGAACAAACATTAACATTTAATGTCGTTACAGCAATAAAAGAACATTTGTACCGAATAGGTATTTATATCACATTATCAATAACCGAATTTGTAACGGTCTGTTACATGCCGTTGTAAATCCGACAATCCAATTTAAATTACAGTAGCGGCAATAAAATAACAACAGTACCTGCATTTACACATGTTACAGAAGTTACACGAACATTCGTACACCCTGTCATATGCAAAAATCATTTATCGACATTTAAAATTTCTTTATCGGGGCGCATGCACAAAGCGCCGCGAATCTGTGAATACATTTTTTTTATTGCGAACAAAAATTGTATGCGCGCACGCAGTTAATTTGCGTATGTTGAATTGCAGACCGCACTTTGTGACATTGTCACCGCCCTGGGCCGTGGGGCGCGACCCACTGCCCTCGTGTCGCCAACATTTCACATATCGTTACAATTCAATTATCGAACGGTTGCATTGTGACAAATTCATAAACATATTTTTTAAACGGTGGCCATACTGCTTTTTGGATTCCTAATTTGAATTTCAAAGTACAGAATGTCAATTTTGATGTTCAACGTAGAATTGCATCGTTGGTGTCATTTTCGGATTTGCATTTTATTGCATTGTACAGTTATTGGATCATATTGAAGATGATCGACATATGTAAATTTCTGCCATAGATATCCATTGATATTTTTCCGTTAACGTTTAAGAAGTTATTGAAGTCTCTATGAGTGGAAGTGTATAACAGCTAGCAATGGTGGAATGTTATTCTTTCATTTTGCTACTGTTATGATATCTATTCATGTGAAAATTTTCAATACTTCTTTATGAATCCGATCTTGATTTGAAATTCTTTTTATAACTTTAAAAACTTCAATAACGAATCACAATCAATATTCTTTAATAAGACACATTCAAGTAACCGATTCAAGATGGGTGTTTCATTCATTTGTAAATTTTATACGTTATTTTTAGTTATTGCGTACGCAAAGGTGTGTGGATCTGTATTTACCAGATTTTTTTTACGATTTACCAGATTAAAAAACTTCTACATATTTAAGAAATATTTAAAATATCTATACCTAATACAAGTAGCACAGAATGTATATGCATATAATATTAAATAATTATGATCATTCGATCGATGTTCATAAAAATAACTCCTTTAATACTAAAGGATACTAATCCTTTAATGGATACCCATTATTAATATAGTTAAACTGGTTTTAACATATACGAATAACTTTATGGTAAATAAAGACATTTACCTCTCTCGATGCTTCCTCTAGTATCACTTTAAAATCACTTCCGAATAAACCATCATATGATTCCCATGTTTGGACTTCCTACAGCTAAGGATTTTATACCTATATCAACTCCATAATAGGTAGGTAAGTAGATATACTTATTGCCAATCGAATTGTGTTTTGTTTATTTATAATTTTGCAAGTATTACATGTATTAATTATAAATGTAATATCATATAATATGTAATATAATATATATTATAATTATCTAATGCTTTTATAATTAATTAGGTACCTCCTCTTTTCTTCTTTTTTAGAAATACATAGGTACTGAATAAACTTACGCCATTTGTTTTATTAAAATATTTTAAGATGGATTGGATTTCATTGCCGCTTCTTAACAATTGAAATTGACATGGCTAGTAGAAACTTTACGATAATGGTATATGATTTTGATTTCAAGTTGACAAAATATTTCAAGATATTTTTTAAAAATTCAGACTTCGATGACCACGCTTTTTTGTGATAGTCACAAAATGGTGGATTACAATATAAATCACAATAACAGGACTGAGAATACCAAAGTAAGTAATGATTTTGGATTTGTCATGGTAATGACCTTTTGGTACCGATGAAGGAAAATAATGTATAAGTATGTAATTTTTTTTAAAACACATATATATGGTAATATGTAACAGCGGGATGTACCTACTAACTGACAGGCATTGTTATGTAGATATAAGTACTAGTATATTGTAATCAATTTGTTTTTGAAATCATAACAGTAGGTATGGTCGCAACCCTCAGAAATTATATAACGATAACAATAACCCAGGACACAGCGCCATCTAGTCCCATAGCTAAGCAGAGCTAGTGTTATATATATATATATACAAATACTTTTTTTTCTATAGGTACACAAAAATCATATCCCTATAGGTACTTAGTTAACACCTCGATCAACACAAACAATTATACTTGTGTATACTAAAGTTTGCATCGTACTAGGAATCAAACCCGCGACTATTGGATGTAAAGCGGTATATTAAACCGCTAGACTACCGAGTCAGTCAGAAATGTAATAAGACTCATTTTTACATTAGACAGATTCCAACACCGTTACGACTTAGGTACAACTTACCTTACCTACATTTTGTTTTCTAAATAATACATAATACCTATGTATATTATACATAATATATGTAATAGGTATTCTTATATAGGTATATTATTTACAAAAAAATATATCAATTAGCACCTATCATATATGACACAAATTCTTCTTAGCTTGGGACTAGATGAAATTATGTGAACAGGTCAGGAATATTATTATTATTACTCTCTGATTATAGGATCACCTATAACAATCCAAATTAATCTTAAAGAAAGGTAGGCTTGCCCTTTCCTCTTTAGATTAAAATATAAAAATACGAAATATCAGCATCTCTAGCTACCCCATCTGGCATGACAATCATGAAGATATGATTTATTCATTAATTAATACTTTATGACAGATAGGTATAGAAATAGAAAGTAAGATAAAACGGCACTTAGTACCTATATTCTAATCAGTTGATATTTGTTACCACATAACCACTCTTAATTCAAGTGATAAACATTCAAAACGCACGCTAAGTGGTCCATTCACTGACTGGATCGAAACAATCGAGATCTTATATTAAGTCATACCCAGTCTCGACTTATAGAAGACAGTGTACCATAAACTAAAAAAGAAAACAAAGACAAACGTCATAACAGCAGAAAGAGACCACGCGACACAGCGCGCACAACCAATTTGCATTGTACGCCGGCTGGTAAACGTTTAAATTCTTTTTCAAATTTCGAACAGTTGGTCTCGTTCTGCATAATAACATCCGTAAGGTAATGGCAGTTGCTTGGCCAATAGGGACACGCGGCGCATTTTCGTGGGCGTATTGGAGGTCTCCGATTGGTCGACTAGAGCGGGTTTATCACTCGATTTGTTGGGAGCGTCGTCACCGCAGTCGCGCCGCACGATTGTCGATTGTCGCCATTGTGCTTAGCGAAAAAGCGGACGCGCGACGGCCGCTAGATTCGCACGCGCGTTATCGATAAATCTAATCGCATATCGATCGTGTAAACGATTAAAACAATTAACAGTTACATGTTTAGTATTTTTGAATTTGGAACAGTGTTTGTGCAGTGCGGGCGGGACTGGTTTACATTTAATAGCAGTGTATACAAGGCTACACCGTGGAGCTTGATCTACATCAACGTGCCAGCGGCCACTTTATGAGGTATATTTATTGACATAACTACTTTTTTACGCGGTGTTACCTGCATTTACTCTTCTTAAAAGTATCTAAAAGATGATCTATCTGTATTCCAAACTACATTTAAATCCATCCAATAGTTTCTATGTAAAATAATAACAAACATAACCAACTTTTTTGTTAGTTTATTATCCTTATTTGAAGGTGAAACTTATAAGAGTATTGCAGGTAGGTATACATTTACATAAATATGAGAATATTCGAACTATTGTTACGCAAATTAATGGAAAACAATCATGAATGAATGATTCAATAGTCAACAATCGAATAATGTCATTGAACTTGTATCAAATCGATTTATTTTCGTATCCAATTCGATTCTGATTTTATTCTAATTACCTACTTGTATCTACTGATTTATAAATAATCAATTTGTTTATTCATTGTGAAAATCGGTTTTTAATTGTTTCTTTCCTGTAAGTAGGTGATTGACATTGCATAATATAAGTACCTACAAATAGGTACCTTGGTAGGAAGGTACTACTAGTATTCTTTTAGGGTGGAAGTGCATTGTTAGTATCTAATGTGGATTAAAAGCATCATTGTTACCAATGTAAATACAATGTCAGGTTAACTTCCGCGGGGTCGCCCTGGAAATCTCATAAATTCCTGGTGAATTTCTCACGATGTGCTAACTGACCTGACCTCATGCTCATCTTATCATCCACCACTGGTTCCCCGCCAGCGTAAACAGTAAGCGCAGGTGGTGCACCATTCCATTACCATCCATAATAAAAAATATACCAGCATGGTCCCACATTGAAATATTCATCTAATTATTTTTAGCTACAATATGATAATGAATTATGAATTAATCTTTAAGAAAAGGGTTTATTTCTTCTTAAAAGGTCGGCAACACACTTGCAATTTCAATTCCCCTGGTGTTGCGGGTGTTCATGGGCGACGGTAATCACTTACCATCAAGTGAGCAGTAAGTTTGTTTGTGCCCTATGCCTTAAAAAAAAATAAAGTATTGCCAACTCGCCATTTAAAGGACGGTTTCTAAAAACGGGACAGTATTGCGTCATTAGACTCCTTTCGGGGATATTAGAATGCAGAATCTAAAAAGACGGTCCCGGTTTAAACAGTATGAATGGTCACCTTAGGTGTAAATAACCTAAAACTTTGTCAATAATATATTACTAGAATATTCTTAGACGAGTTACACAGCGCCATCTAGTTCCAAGCTAAGCCGAGCTTGTATTGTGGGTACCTACTAGACGACTGATATAAATATACTTACATAGATAGATACATTTTTTTGTAAATACACCCAAAATATACACAGAACACATCCATACCAATACAAACAATCATATCTACTCATGACTACAAATATTTGTACTGTGCGAGGAGTCGAGCCGCGATCATCAGTAAAATGGTGTGTTAAATCGCTAGACCACTGAAGCCTACCTACCCACCTACCTATACCTAATATAAACTGATTTTGTTTAGTTTATCATATTTGCACCGCCAACAATCATTCTCTGCACCAACTATGGTTGACTGGTAGAAAATTCTACTACTATATATTGTATTGTGTGCATTGAAGTTAAATAAATAAATAAACACTTTCAGGGGGTGGAAAATGCGATGATAACCGCTTTTAGGTGGACCGTCAGCTTGTTTGTCACATTAAGTGTACAGAATCTAATATTTTGTCAATAGATAAACCTATACCTAATATAGTAAGTAGTAGCACCTATAGGTAATATAAACACTTTTAGTGAGTAAAAAGTGTGTTACTGCTTTCCATCAGGTGGACTCTCAGTTTGTTTATCATTTAAGTTACATAAAAATAAGTAATCGTACTTAGTTACAAAAGGCTTATTATATTTAATTTTTATTATAATTATTTTAGTTAGTATCGTTTGACATTTTTTTTGCACCAGTTATTACCCACTCAGTAACCTATGCCACTGTTTTAGGTTTACTGGAAGAGATCTCTTCTCAGGATAAGTCCACCTTTGCTCACATTATCTCTAATTTATAATATTGTTATATTATCTGTGCAATAAAGATTAGGTATAACTAATAACTAATTTTATTTTTGTACGGACATACCTTCCTTTCTAATTAGATTTAGTTTGACAGTCCAATTCAAAAATCAACTGCTTAAGATATACCTATTGTTACACTTGGTTTCATGAAATACGTCACGCGATTTTTTTTATTCTCATTGTAATGGTGACGGTCTCGGATACTAATTAGTTATTAGATAAACTTATATTTAATCGACAGTATCAGAAGTAGAAATAGAAATAAACATTAGTAAGTAGTAAGAAGATTAATATACCTATGGTATGGTATGGTGGTATTAATATACCATGGTCTTACTTAATTAGTCTTTATAATATACCTACTTGGATGAGAATAACAATGTCTCTAATTACCCTGGAATTGCAGTCGTAAAGAGACCTTATTAATAACTTATATTAATTTAAGAAGAATTAGCAGGTTATCGTAGAAAATAGATCATTAATACAGGAACTGTCAAGTTTAGTTGCACATTCTTTCATCATTTAAGTTACGTGATACCTACATGATAACATACTACCCATAAGTTCAGGTCTACTCAGATTTATAAAGTTGTCATCGGCAACAGGAATCTTATATCTGAATCTCCTAATTTCTTCCACTACCTTCTTGAAAGGCCGGCAACGCACTTGCAATTCCTATGGTGTTTTTTTTGTGGATGATAATGGAAACCATTCCATTATCATCCACAAAAAAACCACCGCCAGCGTAAACCGTTAGCGCAGACGGGTGCACCAGCACCCATCTGCGCTAACGGTTTACACTGGCGGGGCACTAGTGGAGGATGATAAGATGAGCATGAGTCCAGGTCAGTTAGCACATCGTGACAAATTCACCAGGAATTTAACACGGTGGTTTCCAGGGGGAACCGCGTGGAGGTCGACCTGACATGGTACATTGCTAGCAATGGGGTTATTAATAAACACAAACTAGGTTAAATATATTTAATAGGAGTGTATCCACACAATAATTTTACAACGTAGGTATTTTTCAGTATTAGTTCTATCTCAGATACCTTGCGTCTACCTATACCCAAGCGTGATAGCAATATTTTCAATAAAAATTTTGCCGTAAATATTTACGATCCCATCTACTCGGCTTATTATTACAGTAAATATGAAGGTATTTTTACTCTGAAAATTCATTGTAATTTCATTCTCTTGCACATTTTTTTTATAATGTTTGGATTGTTCATACGATAGAGCTAAAGATGTTCTTTTTTTTTTGTTGAAAATAGGGTTTTTCAATTACATGTAATTCTAAAACAAACTTGTTTGAAAAGATTTTGGCTGCCTTATCCTATAGACAAAATTTCATCGAGATTATTTAGTTGTTGTAGAAAATCTTCGTAGTAGCAAGTTTTGTACGCAGAGTGTCTAGTAGAAATAAAAATTTTGAATTATCATATTTTTTCCACCACTCATTCAGAACGCAGACTCATCATAAGAAGAATAAGCAAGAATCTCTTTTATATACCTACATGTTGTTTTAAATTAATATACATTAATAAGATAGAGGCATGCAATAACCAATATAGAATCGCTACGCACTCATACTTTAGTTAGGACGTGCAATCTTAATAAAGCAATTACCTAACCCGCATACTAAAACTAGCAATACCAACACACCTTATCTTCTACTTCGAGTAAATTTTGGCGGGAAAAGAAAAAAATAAAGACAAAGGAAGCAACATGGTATAAGCAATTAGGCATTTTACCAAAGTACTAATGAAGGCACAATCGTCTCATCTTTATGGAGGCTGTTGTAAAAGTGCTTTTATTATTTTTACACTTTTACAATGATCGTTAAGCCTTTACGTCGAGCCGACAGCTGATGGCACCCATATTAGTGTTATTGACCCTAAACCATGGGATTTGTGATGATAATGGGGTAAATACGATTATAATTGAAGTGTTCGATGATTTAAAGGAATAAAGTGGTCAAGTAATTATTTTGAGCAATAATTGTTTGAGGTAATAAATAGGGATAAGTGTGAGAGGAAAGGGAGAGGGTGACGAAAAGAAAGATGATATGTATAAAAGGAGAGTAAGCTTAGATATAATGGTTGATCTATCGATGTATCAATGGAAGATAACATACTGCGCCTACCACAGATAATTACGTATATAAAAACTGTAGTAGGTACATCACTTTGCTCAGTTGCTAATCATTTCTACTGCGTACGGGATATAAGGATCTGTTTTTACGCGTTAGGTTACACTATCAAAGTTAATAATAAGTCATAATGTTTCAATTTATCAATAATGCGACTGTGATACAGTGTTAAGATGCTTTAGTACATATTTTTACTGTATTCTGTAATACAAATCTATAGAAATTAATAAAATTTAAGTGTCTGTTTGCAATTTCAAATTAACAGCTATTCTTTAAATGCATATAAAAGAGAATATATATACTTACATTAAAAAAGTAATTATACATTATATTATGTCTTTCTCTCTTTGTTCTATCTGTGTATTTATTCTTGCTAATCTCTGGACCAATTTTAACAGGATTTTCACTCGTAGACAGCTAATGTTATAAAGAGGAACTTAGACTACGTTTATTTTTGAAATTTTATTTACTTTAAATCCACGCGGGCGAAGTCGCGGGTTACAGCTAATCTGGATGTAACCATTATTGACATACTCGCAAAGGAGATATGATTGAAAACATACGTTTGCATAACTATGTTAATCATGCGTGATCTTGTGTTCTCGCCGCTTCACAAACAATCGATCATGCTGAGTTTGCGCATCAGGTTAGCGGCGCCCGAGTCGATTTCACTCGGATTTATGAGACAATAGAAAGGGGACGTATTGTAAAAGAAACTATGAAATATACAATTTTAGTTTTCAACTTTTGATTATACTCTATTTCACGTTTTCGAGTATTGAAGATAAATGAGATGAGTCGTAGAAAGAAGA